GGCACTGTGAGCACCTCGGAGCGGCACATTCTTGTGGCAGCCACACCCATCCAGTGGATTTTTATTTCAGAAATCTGTTTTTTTAATCCTAGGAGTTTGTTTCTTTTTATGTTTTCCAGTTTTCTCATTGACTTTCATTTTTCACTTAATTCCCTGAGCATATGGAATATTTTTATAATAGGTTTCTAACGGTCTTGTTTCCTAATCCGTCCTCTTCGTTACCTCTGAGTCAGCTTGATGTGTTCTTCCCTGGACACGGGTCACCTTTTCCCCCTCACACGGCTAGAGGCCTTCCAGTGACTGCTGTCCATGGTGAGTTCTCTGGTTTTGAGTACTGGATCGTGTTCCCTCCCTTTGAAGAGCGGTAGGATGCTTACTCTGCCTGGCGTAGATCAGCTTCCGCTCTGCGGGTTTGAGTTGGATCTCTTAGCTTTTTGGTGAGTCTTACGTAGCTGGACTTGGAGGGAAGGGCTAACCCGGTACCCCGCTGTGCGGTCAGCCCGGCTGCTGGGGCCTCGGTCACGCTGCCCGTCTCTGGGAGTGTCCCCCCACACGTGCAGGGACACACACACACCCCAATCAGGGCTCCTTTTCTGCCCACCCCACCCCCCACCCCCAGCTCTGCCCACGAGTGCTAGCCACCCTGACCTGTTCGTCCAGTGTCCGGATGCGGACGGCTGAGGGGCGAGTCCGTGGTGGATTGGTCTGGTGGCCCTCACGTGGCCTGTCCCGAGCTGCAGCACTGGCCAGGGTATGGGGGTCCAGGTGGGCTGCGTCACTGCGTGCTCTGCACAGTCTTGTCGCCCTCGCTCCCCGTCCTGCCCCCTAAGCCGTTCCTCTTCTCTGCTGACCCGCAGATCCTGTCTGTACCTGAAGCCTCTGTTCCTGTAGGTCAGACCGGGTTTCTCCAGCCTCAGGCACCTCCACTTTCTGAGGAAAGTATCTCATGAGGTCAGAAAAAGTGGGATTGATTCACGCCTCAGACACTGCCGGGGCATAGTGTGCTTCACCTGTAGATGGAGTTCAGAGCTTTTTCCCAGGAGATTCAGTGAATATATGTGACTTCTCAGCTGGGTTGTGTCCAAGCTGCTGGCACGAAGCTGTGTGGAGAGCGTCCCCGCTGTGTGCGTGAGGGAAGCGGCTGGGAGAAGCCTCCGTGTGTGACCCCCGACCTCATTGGCCACCTCACGGCACAAATACTGACCTGGCTCGGAGCATTGAGCGGCAGGGACCTTTTTCTACGATCCTGGAGTTTAAAATAGAGTCTCACAGTCAAACTCTGTGGCATCACTTTGCATTCAAAAGGTGCCCGTTTCAGCCGCCTCTGAAGCCTCCCCTGGAGCTCCGTGGCCCCGTTGCCGAACATGGGACCTGGCACGTGTGGCTCTTAGCGCATTGGTTGAATAGGTGAACTTTTCACCAAGTAGTAAAGTCAGGTTCAGTGTCCTGTCCTTCCCCTTAGGGCAGTGGGCAGCATGGTTTTGTGGGGATTTTTTTGATGTCGTTGTTGTTTTTAGGAAGAGTCAGAGAATAAATAATTGAAGCTTTATGCCCCCTCTGCCACAACTGCTCAGTTGGTTCCCCTGCTGGGCGGAGAGCATGCACGCCACATGACCAAGCTCCAGCGAACCTTGTTTTTACGGAAAATGGTCGTCAGGCCGGATTCGGTCTGCAGGCCGGGCTTTGCCGACCCGGCACCAGGCAGTAAAAGGCCAACAGCCTGGTGTAAATTCCCAGGGGAGCTGGAAGCCCTGACTCCCACAGTGTGAGCAGCAGCGTGATAATCTGGACCAGAGTCCTCTGCATGGGAAATGAAACCCATCCTGATTGCTGTGTCAGCATCTGCTCATTGTTTACTTTTTCCTTGAGTAAGCAGTTCCACTTCTCGAAGTCCGTCTGAAGCACATGAATCTGGAGGGGCGCACCGGAGGGTTATTTCTCATCAGGAAAGCTCGACAGAGTAGGGCCTGGCCGCTCGGGGGTGCCGGGGCCGGAGGAGCTGGAGGCCTAGCGGGCAGGAGTGGACGCAGAGCCAGAGGACGCGGGTTCGGATTCTAGTTCCGTGGACATTCTGGCCGTTGACCTGGACAAGCTGCGTAGCCTTTCTTTTAGGGGGAAAGAAAAAGAAGTGCGTGTGGTAGAAAGTAGTACGAAGGGAGTGCACTCAGCACGACCGCCCTTCCTTGGCTCCTGGGCCCCGGAGAGGCAGCCCTGCGGGAAGTTTCTCCTGCGCGCACCCTTCCAGGGGTAGTTGGGTCGTTCGCAGCTTTGTTGCAACGAGCAGATGCACATAGGAGGTAACATGGAAGAAGCAGCTAATTTTTGTTCCCTCAGCGTGAAGTGTTCTGAACGGAAACCCTCCCTGGGGCCTCTGTTGGCCGACACGCGCTGGGCAGGGACCTGGGAATCTGGAATCGAAGTCCAGGGACGCCGCCCCGAGAGGCCCAGGGAGCCTGCTGGTGAGGCCGTGCGTAGTAGCTTCCGGCTGGGCTCAGCGCCTCTCATGGCGTGCGAGCTTTGCTTTGCTCTGTGGCTTCAAATTCGCCGTGCAAGGATGCAGGCGGGCCCAAGTGGCCGCACACCAGCCCTTCCTCAGCAGCGGACTCCGGCGGACGGTGGCGGGGAGCGCATGCTCCTTGCTGGGGACACGGGTGACGTTGGAGAGCCTTCTGGAGCTCTTCCCCTGACAGGTGCACGCTCTGGCCCCTGGACCCGGTGCTGCGGGTGCTCCTAGAGCTGAACAGGGGTCCCTCTCTGGTGGGCCCGCTCTTGGACCCTGTGGAGCCTCTGCTGCCGAGGCTGCCGTGCCTACACGGCAGTTGGGAGGGGCGAGCCCAGGGCGCCCCGGCCTGCGCTCCCTCCTCATCCTTGCCGTCGGCAGGTTGCCTGCTGTCTCCGCAGCCGGGGCCTCCATCCGGGTGCCCTGCCTCACTGTTCAGACGTGCCCCGCGTGTCCTGCAGGCAGAGCATTCGGGTGTGTCCCCTGGGGCTGCCGCAGCGAGCGCCCTCACACGAGCTGTGGAAGGCAGCAGGCCTGTGTTGTCTCAGCTCTGAGGTCGGGGGTATGAGCTCAGCGCGTGTTCCTCCTGGACGCTCCAGGGGCGGGCCTGTTTCCTGCCCACCTCCGTGGTCTGGCCGCCTCCTCTCGTCGACCTCGTGGGCCTCTTATGCCGACCCTGGGCCCGCGTGGACAATCCAGGGCAATCTGCAAAGCCCCTTGTGCCGTGGGAGCTCCTGCAGGCCCAGGACCTGGGGGTCGGGCTGTTGTTCCACCTGACACGGTCCCCCTCCTTGATGCAGGCACTCCATGGACGCCCGTGCTCGTCCTCGTAGTACCAGCTTCCCTGAGCTGCCCCCTCTGCCCTCCTTTCCTTGGTTTCCCTGGGCCTCCGCTTGGAGCCGGGGCGACTGCCCCAGGCTGCCTCAGTCCCGCTCGCCAGGCCGTCTGCGTCCACGGGTCAGGTCCCCATGGCATCTCCTTGCTCTTCCTTGGGCACCCACAGCAGTTGGGGCGGCGCACACCTGTGGATCCCAGCACAGCTCCGTGTCTGGAGCCTCGGACCACCTTTGGAGCTGCCCCTCGCCTTCCCCGTGCAGTGTCTACGCCAGGCCGCCGCCTGCCCTCCCTGCTCCCCTCCTTCACTCGGGGCTCCCTGAGCTCCTAACGCGCGAGGGAGCCCAACACGGCTGTTAGTTCCTGCGGCCCCCACAGAGCGCGCTGCCTGCCACCGGCCTGGCCCCTCAGCCACTGGTGCCCCGGTGCTCGTCAGAGCCAGAGAGCGGAAGAACTGGCCTCGTCCTGCCACTGCCCGTGGCCCGTGTGCAGCCGGGGTGCCTGCCTCTCCCCAGAGTGTCCCCCGCTCTGTGCGGTGCTGCCCTGGGCTGTGGGTGTGTGTGGGGCCCGCTCCCTTCCCGGCTCCCCCCAAGACTGACCTCCTAGGGAGCTGGGTTATGTCTCGTGTTTTCCCTTTGGGTTCCGAGCGCCCCTGGCACCGGGTGTCCCAGCCTGAGTAGCAGAGCCAGCCTGCCCTTGCCTCCTCTGCCCACGTCCAGCTCCCTGCTTGGACACGCCCAGGCTCAGCCCTGCCGCCAGCCCCCAGCAGCCCGGCCTCCGCCGCAGCCTCCAGAATCCCCCTGCAGACCTGCGTGACCCACACGGGGCCGCCGGGCAGGTAGTGGCGAGAGAGTGCGGGTCCGGGGCCTGGGGCCTGCCAGTTGGCAGAGCTCTGTGCGGCCTGGCGGCGGCCTTCACAGCCTCCATCGGGACTCCCCTTGCTGTGGCCACACATAAAGGAAGGACTGATTTATTTTTAAATCCTTTAGTACCTAACGGCAAAACGTGGAAGGTTTTTGTACGTAGTGTGTACAAATCTGTCCACATTGATTTGAAAACATGAGAACATAAATTCAGTGTCTTGCTCCCATTTAGTAGTAACTTGGCAAAGCCTCCATGCTCGAGTGTTTGCCCGGCCCCACGCAGCCCTTCCCTCCAGCGTGAGTGAGTCGTGTGCAGCGCCGTTGCGGGACGCCCTGTGCTGTGGCCGGTGCTGCCTTCCGTGGCCACCCAGAGCCCACGGTCCCTGGTGTTGCCGCAGACGCCTCTGCCCGTGGGAGTGGGCTTTGGCTGCAGGCCGTGGGAGGGCCGGAAGGAGACCTCTGTCCTCCCAGCCCCGCTGCTGCCCCGACACAGCCCGCCAGGGGCCAGTCCGCCTCCGTGACCTGCCTGTGTAGACCCGGAGGGCGGAGGGTCCGTGGTAAACCCACCGGAGTCCCCCCGAGTGTGCTGTTGCAGCCAGGACCCTGGAGAGCAGTGCCCTCTGCGGGTGTGAGTGGGTGCTTCAGCATGACTGCGTTTTCACACCGAGGCCCCCCAGGCGTCTGCACGTGTGGGTGCCCGTGGAGCCCTGTCCCCGCAGGGCGCTCGGGGCGATAGAGGCCGCCGGGGCGGGTGGGGCTTGTGTGCCTCGTTACCGTTGTGACCATGGCTTTCCCTCCCACAGCTGCCAGGCCGCAAGTACTGCCCTGGGTACAACGCGGACGTGGGTGACAAGTGGATCTGGCTAAAGTGACGGACTTCCCCCCCGCCCCCCCCCCCACGGGCTGCATCGCGGCGACGACGAAGAGGCTGCCACCTGCCGCGTCCTGTGGACTCCACGTAACTTTAACACGCGGGGGGAAGGTAACGGACTGGGGCGCGGCCTGGCCAGAGCAGGCTCCCTGTAGAGTAGCTGAGCCCGGGGAGGGCCTCGGGGTTACGAGGCTCCTGAGGCTCCGCAGCTTGTAGCTTTGTTCAGGAAAACCCTGCTGTGAAAGGCCAGATTAGTAGAGGAAGCTCCTTTCATTACAGCTGTGCTCTGTGTCCTGCACATCTTGTACTTGGTGGCCTCTGACTTCAAGAAATAAAACCGCTTCCACGGTGTTTCCCTGCATCCTACATCTGCACCTGCACTCGTCACGTGTGTGCACACGCGTGTTTGCTTACACTTCACCACCGTGTGCTGTCGTGGGTCTGGTTTACTGAGACAGAGGCCAGGACTCGGGGCTTCTGAAGCGCTGACTCCACCTGGCTGGGCGGCACACCTGCAGCGGGAGGGGGAGGCCAGGACAGGGAGGAAGTCGCCGTGGGGGGACACGGGTGGGGTGTGCGGTGCATTTCAAAGAAACGTCAGAAAACATGCACGATGCCCATCACCATCCGGGCTTGAAACCCACCCCCGGGAGGGGAGCGTGAGCTCAGAAAGTGCAGTGACGAGTACGGATGGCGGAAAGGCTCCTCTCTTTACTGAAACTGGGAAACCGGCCCTTGTAGAGGTGGGTGCTGCGTCCCAGGAATGGCTGCGCGTCCCAGGAACGGGAGCCCCCAGCCAGGCTGGCCCTGCCCCACACACAGGCCCCTGGCCACCCGCCCCGTTTAAACCTGGGTGATAGAAGCTACATGCAGTGTAGGGTTCCGCTCCTCGCCCTGCGGGCTGCTCACTGGGGTGCACGCCATCCCCCTGGTGGACAGGTCGGGGAGGGGAGGCCGCAGACCGCCCCTTGGCCGGCCGTCCTGCTCCCCTGCCCTCCCCCTCCCACTTCTTCCTTTCCCCTTCCCACCTTCCCTTTTGGGGAAGGGTGTTTTACAATTGAAAAGAAAGTTTCCCAGCAGCAGCCTGGGAGTTGGAGGCGCCGACTTCAGGGTGGAAGCTCTGCGCCTCCCTGAGAAACCCTGCTCTCACCGCTGCGTGGAGGTGCACTCGGCACCCGGCCAGCCGTGCAGTGTCTACTGGACTAAGTGCCTCACAAACCATTAAGGAGGAGAGGAAGGAAAAGAAAAACCTCTTTAATTATCTCGGCTGTCCCCGATGTCTCGGCCATAATGAGCTCGCTCTCTGCGGCAGCGTCCCCACTGGGGGGCGGCTCTGCTGTGCGGTCAGGACCGCCGGGGTGGGAGCGGGGTGGGAGCCGGCTCGCTCCACCCGCGGACGCGTCCCTCCCAGCCTGTGTGGGGCGCCGGGTGACCTAACCCCGTGGGGGGCGCGCTGGTGGTTTGTGTGCTGAGAAAGCCTCTGTTTCACTTCCCGGTGCTGCCGGCCTGTGAGTGCCGGGCAGAGAAAAGCAAATAAACAGTGACCAGGGCGTCTCTCCAGGCAGACCTGGGTGTTTGGGAGGTGCCCCTGCAGGGTCTCCGTACTTCAGAGCAGCCGGCTTCGCAGAAATGCCGACAACCCCTAGAAACCCCAGAGCTGAATGAGACCGTGCGTGTTGAGACCCGCCGTGTTGGGGTCTCAGCGCGCCAAGGACCAGGCGCTGTGCTGTTGCGGCCGCGCACTCCCGTCCGCAGGCTTGCTCACCGGCTCCGGCTCACGGAGAAAGTGCTCATTTTTCCCTAAAGAACTTTTCTGTCCCGTCAAATTTTGTAACCCAGAGAGGTGAGGAACATTTAGCCCCTCGAAGGGAGTTAGAGACCGTTCCCTCCGTCCACCTCGGCCAGCAGGTCGCCGTGTCCTGTGGCCGTGTCCTGTGGCCGCCCCGCTCCGCCAGCACGGCTCCCGCAGGCGGGTGGCTGTGTCCAGAGCAGCAGGTGAGGAGGCTCGGCCCTGGGGCGGGGGAGCCTGCAGGCCCTGGACCTCCGCCGACGCTTGCCAGGACCCATCCTGTTTCTCCAAAGCCCGTTTTTCTCCCCCAGCAGCCTGCTGGCCGCTAATCTGGCTTGGAATCTTTCTGTGTCCCGTTTTCCAGTGACCCGTTTCTGGCTTGGTGGTTCTGCGCCGCGCACATGTCAGAACAAAGGCAGGCCGGCAGCTGCTTCTTGGGGGAAGGCACAGTCCATGCCCACCCTGGGTGCAGATCTGCAGGCTGTGGGGCCTTGGCAGAGTAGGGGCGGAGAGAGAGCCACAATCACTGTCATACATTTGGGCTTTTAGAGGGAAAGAGGAGTAGGCGGCAGCCCCTGGCTGGTCAGGATTCGATGAATGAAGCATGTGCCCGGGTAATTCTAGGTTTTATATCTGGAGAGAAATAAGAGCTGGGAACCAGAGGCTTTGCTTTGGGAAGATCACGAGCCAGCGCTCAGAGGCGGAGACTCTGCGGCCCCCCCGTCGGGAGGGATTGTCTCATACCGTCGTGGACTTCAGCGGGGAGAGGGCCCCGTGGAGCGACGTGTCCCCAACCTGAACGGGGGAGCCTCTGGGAGAGGCCCCCCGCCCGCCCCGATGCCCCAGGCTGTGGAACCCCGTTAGAAACCACTCCCCCAGGGGCCCCGGGGGCGCCATCGGCTAAGCATCTGACTCTTGATTTCGGCCCAGGTCGTGATCTCAGGGTCCCGGGGTCGAGCCCCACTTCGGGCTCCAGGCTCAGCACCGAGGCTGCTTGGGTTTCTCCCTCCCCCAGGAGCTTCCTCCAGGACGTGCAGGCCCCCAGGAGTCTTTGCCCGCAGGATGCCAGGCACTCGCCGCTGCCTGCCAGCCCCGTCCTGTGGGGCAGCCCTCCTGGAGGGGAGGTCACCGCTGTGGACACCTCGTCTCTCCACCCGAAGGGGCCACGTTCCCCTGAATGTCGCAGTGGAGCGCGCTCGGCCCGAACCCTCCGTAAAAGCCTGGAGGCCCGAGGACCATTTCAATCTTCATATTCCAGCCGCTCGTGGCGAACAGGGGCCCCAGCCCTTGCACCACAATGACGGGTGTAAGGACGGGCGGCCGGGTGCCGCGTTGGAGCCCACGTCTGGCCCCTGGGGTGCGCCCCCCGCCGGCCCGCGCTCGGGGTTTGTATGGCGAGGAAGGCCCTGGTGTGAGTGCTGGGCCGAGTCCCAGGCTCCTCCGGGGGACCCGGGGAGCTTGGGGGACGCCCTGCAGGGTCCCCTTACTGCAGGCCGGCCAGGGTTTAGTCTCACCCCAGGGCTGCGCTTGGCCCGGCTCCCGGTGAGCACGGGCTGCTCAGGGCTCCCGCCGAAGGGGACTCGGTGCCGCGGGTGACGGATCGGCCGGTGAGCGTGGTCACGGGTCCCCGGGGGCGCAGGTGGGCAGGGAGTCAGCAGCTGGGGCCCGGGGCGGGGGCGGGTGTTGGGGGCCAGGGACCGGCGTGCCCGCCGTGGGGTCGTGCCGACGCTGGACCGCAACCTGGCTGCTTCTCCGCGGCTTGCCCCCCTCCTCCCCTCCCAGCCCCGCACAGGGGGTGACACCAGAGGCCCCTGCAGTGTCCGCCCCTAGACCCTTCCGTCAGGAGTCGCGGCTGTCCGCAGGGCTGAGCAGAGTCCACAGCCAGAGGCTGCTGTCCGGCGGCCCCTGGTTCGGAGCTCTCGGCTGCGCCCTCCCCGAGATCGCAGTCCCCTGGCCCCGCTCGTGCCCCCCTGGCCCCGCCGACCCCAGCGCACCTGCCTGCTAGTGCTACTGCCGCGGTGGCCTCGCCTCGTCGGGCATCTGGTGAGCCTCGCGCCGCCCCTCCCCTCCCTGTCACAGCTGCTGGGCCCCAGGCACCTTTGGGAGAGGACCCCGGGGCTGGGCCTCGAGGAGGGTGACGGGCGCCACGTTCAGGACGGCCCTCAGTCCTAGTGCCGGCCGCGGGACAGCGAGCTCCTGGTCATGTTGCCGTGGCCCCTGCCACCCCGAGGCCTGGACGCCTGCACCGCGGCTCGGTCCGCACACCCGGGCGCTCTGGGGCCCCGCTGCCCCCTCCGCCCTTCACGCTGTGCAGGACATGGGCTCCTGCCCGCCCGGCGCCCGGGGGTGAGCGTGCCTGCACACTCGGCTCCGGCACGGCCCTCCGTGCACACGCCGTCTGGCGTCTGTACACTTGACGTGAATCTGCCTCTCGCTGGAAGTGACAGGGAATAGAAGGGAAGGGACAGGACGTGTGGGAAATGTCAGGAAGGGACACAGAACATGGAGACTCCTGACTCTGGGAAACGAGCTGGGGGTGGTGGAAGGGGAGGAGGGCGGGGGGTGGGGGTGACTGGGTGGCGGGCACTGAGGGGGGCCCTTGACGGGATGAGCACTGGGTGTCATTCTGTATGTTGGCAAATTGAACAGCAATAAAAAAATAAATTTATTAAAAAAAAAAAAAGAAACGAGAAGCAGGAGGAGCCCCTTCTACACCGGCCAGAGCCGAAATGAAAACGAGCCGCTCCTGCGAAGGGGAGCCAGCCTCGCTGAGAGGATGTCGTCTAGCTGCGCCCCCGGCTCCCGCCGGCCAGAAGCCCCGCCGCACGGAGCTGGCCAACCAGCCATTGGAGCAGCGCGGCCCTCGGGGCCCTTCCGGAATCCGCGCCGCCCGGTGCTCAGGCCGTCAGGGCCCACGGGCCGGCTGGGCGGTCGGTCAGGGCGCGGCTGCACCTGCCCCGGGGAGCCCCGGTCTCTGCTCGCCCAGCGGGCACCTGTGCCGTCCGTGTGGCCGCCTCGCGTCGGGGCTGCCCCGCCGGGCCCTCAGCTCTGAGAGCGGCGTGGCCGTGGGCCGCGGGGGACGCTGCGTGACCCCGCCGGGCGGACCCTGTGCCTGGAGCACCGCCCCTGACCCCGGCAGCCCCGAGGGCTGGGACCCGCTGCCCGGAGCTGACAGCGTGGTGCTGCCGGCGGGCCCTTGGGAGGCGGGCGAGGGGGGTGCTGCTTCCCGGCCTCGCCCTCGGCTCCCAGACCCCCCACCCCAGCTGAGCGCTGCTTCTGTCCTCACGTGTCCTCCTCTGTCCGCTGAGGGCCCTGCGATGACGTCGACGCCGCACGGCGTCCGGGCCGTCCCCACCCCAACATCCTGACACCTGCGACGTCCCCTGGCCGCCCAAGGTCGTGGAGGCGCCTGTCCCCGCGGTCAGTGCCCCTGGGGGGCCCTCACGCTGCTGCAGACCCCGAGACACCTCAGGGAACCACGGGGCGGTCCTGCCGCCTCCTGCCTCGCTCCGTGCTCTGCTGTGCGTGGAGGCGTCCACCGCCCCGTTGTCCGCAGGTGTGCGTCAGGCCCGCCCAGCCCCTGGGGCGGAGCGTACTGTGTCCCCACGGTGGGTCCCAGGATGGCTCCCGGGGCTCCCGGGGCTCCCGGGCTCCTGCCTGTGGTGGGAGCGGAGGGGAAGCCAGGCCCTGCGGGCCCTGGTGCAGCCTGTGGTCGGAGCGCCTGCACCTGTCACGCGGCCGGGGAGAGCCCTGGCCCCGGCTTCCCCCAGACCTCCCGGCGGCTCCGGCACCGCACACAGGCGGCTCCCGGGGTCGCCCGGCGACATCCCTCCCCTCGGGCCTCCCGCCTGCTTTGTTAGGGGCGTGGACCCAGCCCTGCGAATGGGCACGGGGATCCCGGGCAGCCCCCCGCGTGGCCAGGACGGAGGAGGCCTTGGTGAGGCTCCGGGGCGGCCGTGGCCCATTCCCACCCTAAACCCTCTGGCCTGCGTTCATGGGAGACAGAGAGGCGGTCCGAGGGGTGGCCTCCTGCTGCGGCCCCTCCACCCTGGACAGTGCCGGGTCCTTGGTCCGGGCTCCTCTGCCCCTCCCGGAGGGGCCCAGAGAAGCCGCAAGGACACGTGAGGTCTGGGACTCCTAGGTTTGTGGGGAGGCTGGTCGTCAGCCACGAGATCCCGTCCTCGAGGCCATGCTCCCGAGAGAAGGACAGAGCCTGGGGGTGGGGGGGGTGGTCTCCGGGCCCAGCCGGGGTCCTGGGGAGCCATTCTCATGGGGGCACTCACAGGAAGGCCCTGGACGACGCACAGCAGGGCCGGTGGGCCCCCCAGGGGGTGAATGGGGCGCTCCGAGAGCCCGGCCTTTCCTCTCTCTGCCCCCGGAGCCCGTAGCCGCAGCCAAGCTCAGCCTAGGGACACGTCCCTCAAAGTCAGCGTGGCCCCGGGCATGGGGAGTGGGCTGGCGGGCGTGAGGGCCTGCGGATGGACAGACGGACGGAGCTCTGCCGGGGGGGGCACGGTGGCCCCGGGCTGCCAGGGGGCCGTGGAGCCGCCAGGGCTCCTTCTTGCTTCCAGAAGCCCCGGGCCTTTGTTGGCTTGCAAATCCTCCTCCTTGACGCCAGCAGCCAGCTGTGCTGAGGAAACGCCCAGAAACGGGTGTGGTGGGGGCCGCACCTCCCGCCGGGCCAGGCCCAGACCAAAGTGGTGCCCGCCGACAGCACAGGCCTGACGGTCACTCACGGTGGCCCTCGGCCAGGACGGGTGGGCGCTGCCAGGCCACAGGGAGCTGCCGGGCGGGGGCCTGGTTCCCGGCGCTCGTGGGTCCTTCCCATCCAGCATCGGGACCCTTGGAGCGGGCCGCGGGGCCAGGCCGGCTGTCCTCCTCCTCGGGAGCCGGGGTCTGGCTGTCGGGGGGCGGCTCCGTGTGCACCCCTCCAGCAGGCTGGGTCCCCGGGGGCCGACGCCGGGTGGGGTCAGCAGCTCCGGGGGCAGCCTGTCTGGAGGGCTCGGGGGCGCAGGGACGGAGCTGTCGAGTCCCCGAGCAGCTGCCTGGAGGAGGCCCTGGCGTCCAGGAGCCCCGAGGGCGGCCCTGGCTCCCCCCAGGCCTGGGTTTGCACCGCCCGTCCGGAGAGCTGAGGGCGGCCGCTCGGGAACACGGGGAGCCCAGCAGGACACCCTTCCGGTCCCGGCACCTGGGACGAGAAAGCCCCGCAGCCGGGGCGGGGCAGGCTGGCCCGGGGACACCCCGACCTTCCTCAGGAGCCCACGTCCCACCGTCCGGAGTGCGTGCCGGTCGGCGCCTGCCCGAGGGAAGACGGACTTCACGGTCTTCAGGTTAATCTTCCTTTCTTGTCTGACTTGTGCGCCGGTCGTAGAAGAGCTGCCTGTGCCCTCCCGGTGACGTCACGCTGCCCCCCCCCCCCCCCGGCAGGTACGTTCCTGTGGGACTGAGGTCCGTCCCCAGCAGTGCGTTCAGAAGGGACACGGACGGCAGAGGGAAGCGGAGCCTCGGGCTGTCCCACCCCCGGTCCCAGAAAGCACGGACCGGGCGAAATTAGGGAAAGTTAGACGCAGACTCCAGCAAGACGCGGACGAGGTGGGAAACTGCGCAGACGGGGCAGGGCAAGAAGGGGCCACTCTGCCGCGGAGCGGGGTGCAGCCTGGGTGGGCCCGCCCGTCGCCCGTCGCCCGGCCCAGAGCCACTGGGCACCCTCGCTCGTGCTGCAGTATGGGGACGGGCAGCAGCAACTGGCGCCACCCACCAGGGTGGGAAGGGCGTCCGGGACGCAGGCTCTGCTGGGCCCTGTGGGCCTGCTGCTCCGTGGGAGCTCGGGGTGCTCCGACAGACTGGCTGGGGCCCGCAGGCGGCAGGGCAGGGGCGGGGGGAGGGGAGAGCAGGGGCTGGGGCAGGGGAGGGGAGGGCAGGAGTAGGGGCAGGGGAGGGGCAGGGGACAGGAGGCCAGGGGCAGGGCAGGTCTGATGCAAACCACCCCCGGAGCGCGAGGGCTCAGTGCCCAAGGCCGGTCACCGCGACCGCAGGGCAGGGACGACAGCGGCGCCCAGAAGTCTCCCGACCCCCCCCCCACCCCGACGGTGGAGCGCGAGAAGCACACGGATTCGGTGGACACGCCTGGAGAGGGGCCGCCGCCCGGAGCGAGCGAGCGAGCCTGCCGAGGGCCGGCCTCAGACAGGACGCTCAGAGCCGCCCACGGGGCCGGGGCCGGGGCCGGGGCCGGGGACACCCGATTCAGCAAGTGGGCTTTTATTTAAGAACCTCAGGAATAAGACATAAATTCTTATCTAAGAACGCGCGTCAACGGACGGGCCCCCGGGCGTCAGGATGGCGGCTGCGAGGAGGGGCTCCCGAGTGGAGCAGGTCTGTGCCTGCGGGACGTGTCATGGGGCATGTGCGGACACGCGTGGGGTGTGGATATGTGCCTGCGTGTGTGGTGTGTGTGTGTACGAGTGTGTCTGTATGACCTGTGCGGGGGGGGGTGTAGGTGTGTGATGCGAGTGCACGTGTGACGTGTGCATGCGCGTACGACTGTGTGACGTGACGCGACCCTTCAGGGTCGACGCCCCTGTGTCATTTCTTGGGGATTCAAGGTGAAAGGTGCCGACGGTTGTGCAGAAATCGTTCAAGCTCGGAAACCGCGCTCGCCTCCGTGTGCACGTGGGCCACGGCTGCCGGTGAGGGACGTGGGACGTGGTTCGGAGCAGCGTCCACAGGGGCCCGTGTCCCAGGGTAGCTGTCCCCGACGTGCACGCACCGAGGTGGCTGCGGTCGCTCGCGTTAGCCCCGAAAAACCAGGTGAGGTGCAGTCGCTTGTGCTGTGGGGGGAGGGGTGTGGGGGGGGAGGGGGCGCCCGTGGGGAGGGGGCGGCGGGGTCGCGGGGCTCTGGGCGCCCCTTTCCTGTGTGTGGAGTGCTCAGGGCCCCCCGTGCTCACCCCCAGGGGCCACGCTCTGCTCCCACCCGACGTCCCGCGCGCAGCGTGTTTAGCGCAGTACATGGTGCCTCCTCCTCCCGCCCTGTGTGGTGCCGACCCAGCACCGTCCACGGCGGCCAGCGCCTGCTTGGTCGTGTCCAACGGCTTCGTGCGGTCCGACGCCCCGCCTCGCGCGCCTCACCCTCCTGCAGTGTGGACACGCAGACCCCTCACCGTGTGGGCACCATGGGGCCTTCCTCCTTGGACGCTGCTGTCTACACCGTATGCCCCCAGTCACTGGGTTCTGAACTCTCACGGGGCTGCGAGGCCTCAGGAGCCCACAGCAGCATGACACGATTCTCCCGGACATGCCGATCCTGCTGTCACCGGTGGACACCCACTGCCACCGTCCCCGGGGGGACACCCGACTGTCACCGTCCCTGGGGGGACCCCCACTGACACTGTCCCCAGGGGGACACCTGCTACTGTCACTGTCCCCGGGGGGACCCCCACTGACACCGTCCCTGGGGGTAGATCTGACTGTCACCATCCCCGGGGGGACACCCGACTGCCACCGTCCCTGCAGGGACACCCACTGACACTGTCCCTGGGGGTAGACCCGACTGTCACCGTCCCCGGGGAGACACCCGACTGTCACCGTCCCTGCGGGGACCCCCACTGCCACTGTGCCCCGGCTGGAAAGGCCAGTTTGCCACCATCCACGCTGTGCTCCTCCAATATCCCTCACCCGTCAGGGTTGCCTGTTCCTTGGACCCCTCGAGCGGTCGTAACGCCGTGTGACCCGCTGCCAGCAGACGGCGGCCAGTCCCACGCGTCCTGTCCTGTGTCGTGAGAGCCTGGTTCCTCTTCCTTCCTGAAGGTGAGCTGCTCCCTCAGGGCACATGTGTCTCCTTGCGCTGCCCGCAGCTCATCGAGAACGACGCGCTGGCCTTCAGTCCCCCCCGCGACCCGGAGGGCCGGCTCCAGGCCCCGGCCGGCGGCAGGACCGCGACCCCCGCAAGCACGACCCCCACAAGCCCCCCACCGTGCGTGCAGGAGACTCGGCGTGTCCAGGCTGCCGCGGGGAAGCCGGGGGTGAGATCGCCGTGCCTCACGGTCCCCCGTCCCTACACGTGGGCACGGGCCGTGGCGGAGATCAGGGCCTGGCCCCACGGCCCCGGGCGCCCGCCACCTGCTGTGTCAGGGAGGCCGGAGCGGACCTCGCGGGCACCAGCTGCGCTGCTTGTCCTGAGGGCGGCCTGGACGACCGGCCAGAGGGGCCATGTGGCCACGGGCCTCCCACCTCGCCTGGACCGCAGAGGCTGGCGACCCCCACCCTGACCCCGTGGAGCCCTGGGGGTCCCTGCACAGAGACAGGCCATAGTGGGAGCCGCCGCCTTCGGGAGGTGCCCGGCCCCGCGCCGGCCCCGGCCCCCCTCAGCACAGCTCCGTGACCGCGTGGCCCGGTTTCATTCCTGGCTTTGTGCGCACGGCAGCTGGGGCCTTGCGTCCCGCCCTCGGCCCTGGGATTCCTTCCCCGCGTCACCGCTGCGTGTTTTGCCCGCGTCTGGCGGAGAGACCGTCGCTGTGTCGTCGACGTGCAGAAGTCCCTGTCCCTTCCGGAAGTGGTGGACTTTCACGTATCTTCGACCATTTCTTGACTTTTTCTGCCCCCCTCTAGTCCCTCATGATGAACTTGTACATCTTTACCCCTTGAACATTCATGCGGTCGGGCTTTTTTTCTTTTTTTTTTTTTTTGATTTTTTTTATCTATTTATGATAGTCACAGAGAGAGAGAGAGAGAGAGAGAGGCAGAGACACAGGCAGAGGGAGAAGCAGGCTCCTTGCACTGGGAGCCCGATGTGGGATTCGATCCCGGGTCTCCAGGATCGCGCCCTGGGCCAAAGGCAGGCGCCAAACCGCTGGGTCGGGCTTTTTTTCTTACAGATACACAAGCAGAAGCGCGGCAAGAACAGACGTGCGACCGGCGCCGCAGGAACACTGGGTGCAGCGCCGCGCGGGGAAGGCCTTGACCGCGGCAGCGCCGCCCCCTCGGTGCTCTGCGCTGATGCGCGTCGTCCCGCAGCTTGGCCTCGTCACCCCAAGGCCACGCCCGGGCCGCCCCCGCCCTGCTTGGTGAGGGGCCGGGGGCTGGGGGCGCCTGGGCCCGCTGAGGCTGAAAGGCCGGGCGCCTCACCGACCACCCTGCTCCGCTCACGTGGGAGCCAGGGCGACTGGTGCGCCCGGGGGGACGGCGGGGGCATGTCCCGGGAACGTGGGGAGCTCGCCCGGCTGCTTGCACGGCCTCTGACCCACCGGGAAGCCGTACCTGGGGAGCAGGTCCTGGAGACCCGACAGCCCCGCGTGCTGACACCTCGGCGGCCGAAGGGCGGCAGGTGCTGGGCGCTGCCTGGGTAACAGGTGTGTCTCGGCCGCGACAGCCACGCCGGCTCGGGTCGCCCGGCCCACCTGGCCCACCCTCGGCGTGCTGCACACCCGCCTTCGAGGGATGAGCCATTTCTGCGCCCACTTTCCAGATGAGGAAGGTCGGGCCCACAAGCAAAGGTGGGGGCTGCTGGCCGCGGGGAGCTGGGCACACGCGGGTGCTCAGCGCTGTCCCCATCCCTGTGAAGGAGGGAGTGACCCAAGGAGCACATTGGGCGGTGACCAGGCTGTGGGGGCAGCTAGGGGGGCCGTGGGCGCTCGGCTGCAGGGAGCAGCTTCCGGCCGCGTCACAGCCCGGTGCTTATGTCTCCAAGGAGGGGCTTAAACCAGAATGACTTGGACCAGGTGACCAGGTGACACGCGGGGCCCCCTGCACTGCCGGCGGGGTGCACACGGCGCGGCTGCCCTGGAGGCAGGCAGTGTGCGTCCTCGCGAAGGCCGGTCTGGGTGGCAGGTGACAGTGTGCCACGCCCGGGTGTCTGCCCCAGCGCATCGGGAGCGCGTGTCCACACCACAGGTGCGCACACACCTCACGGCGGCGCCATCCACGGTGGGCAAAAGCGGGAACAGCCCAAATGCCCATCCTCAGGGGGACAGATTTCCGACACGTGGCGCGGCCGCCCGGGGATTGTCACGCAGCCACAGAGAGGACGGGAGCGCGGTGTGGTCGGGCCTGGCAGGCTGGCGCTCCGCGAACGCAGCCGGTCCACGCAGACCACGCGTCACGTGGGCCCCTGGGCTGGACACCTGCAGACTCTCCCTGCCGGGGCGGGACGGAGGCTGGCGGCGGAGCACCAGGGGCCCTCGGGTGACGGAGTGTGCGGCCCGCAGCCCGCCCGCCTGCCAAGAGCCATCCCCCGGCACCCTGGGATGCTGACCCCTCGGGCTCCCGGGAAAACCATCGCGTTCCAGGAGGAGGCGCGACGAGAGGCGCATCTGTGCCTCAGGACTTGCTCACAGCAGCCAGGTCAGCGGGGGAGACACTGCGCGGCCCGGATCGCAGACCTCCCGCCCCGCGGCTTGTGGCGGAGAATCCTGCGGCTCCCACTAACGCTGTGCCCCCTCCTCTCCCCCTCCCCTCCTTCTCCCCCTCCCTTCCTTCCCCCTCCCCTCCTTCCCCCTCCCCTCCTTCCCCCTCCCCCTCCCCTCCCTCCTCCCCCTCCCCTCCTTCCCCCTCCCCTCCTTCCCCCTCCCCTCCTTCTCCCCCTCCCCTCCTTCCCCCTCCCCTCCTTCCCCCTCCCCTCCTTCCCCCTCCCCTCCTTCCCCCTCCCCTCCTTCCCCCTCCCCTCCTTCCCCCTCCTCCTCCTCCCTCCTCCCTCCCCTCCTTCCCCCTCCCCTCCTTCCCCCTCCCCTCCTTCCCCCCTCCCCTCCTTCCCCCTCCCCTCCTTCCCCTCCCCTCCTTCCCCCCTCCCCTCCTTCCCCCTCCCCTCCTTCCCCCTCCCCTCCTTCCCCCTCCCCTCCTTCTCCCCCTCCCCTCCTTCCCCCTCCCCTCCTTCCCCCTCCCCTCCTTCTCCCCTCCCCTCCTTCCCCTCCCCTCCTTCCCCCTCCCCTCCTTCTCCCCCTCCCCTCCTTTCCCCTTCCTCTCCTCCCCCTCCTCCCCCTCCCTCTCCCCTCTCCTCCCCTCCTCCCCTTCCCCCCTCCTCCCCATCTCCCGCATCCTCTGGAGCAAACCGAAGAACGAAGAACGACGAGGGCTGGATCCGCAGTCAGCATTTTAATAACCGCGCGAGCCCACTGCCTCGTCAGCTCCTAGGAGCCCGGAGCGAGCAGGTGCTGACAGTCCCCCGATCACGGGCCAATTTCCAGTTACGGCGACACCGGACATTTCCGAGAATCTCAGGGGTCCCTCGGGGTGGGGATCGCCAGGGCCGGCAGGACATCTGGGCGACATCATCTGTGACCCTGACTGATGGAGACACACGTGGGAAGTTGGGAGCAGGTGGGGTGATACACGGCGGACAGACGGAGGGCAGGGCAGCCTCTGGGGCGGTCCCCGTCGGTGGGGGGGGGCATCTAGGGACTCGGGAGACACGAGGGCAGCTCCGTCACTGTGCCACTGGTTAGCCCCACGTGGGGACAGTCCTCTTTCAGGGGCATCACCTGCGTGGCTCTGGCTCCTGCTGGGCCCCTGGCCCCTGGGGGGAGCACCCAAGGGTGGGGGCGGTGGGCACAGGCCGGTGAGGAGGAGGAGGATGCTGTGCAGAAGGGGAGGCTGTGCCGGAGCCGCGCAGTGGACGCTCAGGGAGACCTGTGCCACCAAGCAGAGCCGGTCCGCGCCCTGTGCTCCCCAACCCTGCAGGCTGCCCCCCAAACACACACCCGTCAGCCCCCGGCCACAGGCCCCGCGGGGGGCTGCAGTTACAGGCCGCTGCCCCCTGGGCTCTGCCCGCCGCCTCTTGTCTCCTCCCCCACAGCCTGCTCCTCGGGTGCTCCCGCCTCCTCCTGGGACAGGGGTGGCCGCCCCAGGACCCAGCAGGGCTGCACAGCAGCTCACGTTCCGCCGGCCGAGGGCGTCCGCTGTGGCTTCCCGGGAGGGAGGTTTGGGTCGCAAGGCGCTGGGGCGGCCCACCTGAATCGGGAGGCAGGCCGGCGGCTGGAGGCCAGGCAGGACCCAGGCCGCAGTCTTGAGGGCGCCTTCCCTCCTCCGGGCACCTTCTCAGAAGGCCTTCCACTGATTGGGTGCGGCCCACCCACGTTACAGAGCAGGACTTTTGTCGACGGCGGGCGCTAGCCTCACCTTCCAGACCGGCGTGTGGCGAACTGTGGGTGCAGCGGCCTGACCGGCAGGCACTTGAGCTGCCTGTCGGCTCCTGCACGGGGTCCCCAGCACTGAGCCGGGAGCTGGCCTGGGAAGCACGGGAGTTTCTGGGAGCTGCAAACATCCCAGCAGAGGCTCCGACCAGCAGCCCCCCCACGCCCCTGCCAGGCCCCCCATCTGGCTGAGGGAGGCCAGGCTGCGGGCGTCCCAGTGGGATGACCTCGGCCCCCGAGGCCTCCGCTCCTCCTGCAGGAAGGAGCCCGGGGTGGTTTCAGCCCAGGCAGGTGTGTCAGCAAGTCCCCTCCGGCACTGGGTAGGGACACGGGCGAGCCCCAGGCCCTGGCAAGTGGTCGGTGAGGGAGGCTGGAGGCCCCCGTGAGGAGCCGGGTGGCACGGAGGGCCTTGCAGGGGCAGTGCCCACCGGGCCCTGGACCCTCTGAGAGACCGGGGTGGGGAGCCCAGGTGTGCTTTGGAAAGAGGGGACCCGAGAGGAAACGGCACAGCAGAGCCACCAGCGCGTCCTGGAGGGGACCCCTGTGTCCATGGCCCCCCGTCACTACAGAGGAGGGGTGTGGGCTCCGAGGGCGTGCCCATTGCTGGGGGGGACACAGCGCAGCCGCCCTCCCTGCCAGCCCGGGGGTCCAGGCAGTGGCCCTGAGGGGCGGGCCCTCCGCGAGGTCAGCAGGCGGTGGAAGCAGGATGCGGCTGCCCAGGTGGGTGCGGGTGGAGGGCTGCTGAGGCCCAGCTCAAGGGAGGAGGAGGCACACGGCCGGGCCGGGGACAGTGTGTGCCGAGCACCTGCTACGTGCCCTGGGGGACATGGGGCGGGGGCGGGGGAGGGCTGCGAGAGCCTTCCAGAAGCAGGGGAGGAGCCCTGCAGGTGGAGGGCAGGCACGGAGAGCTCTGGGGACCCGTGGGGACAGCGAGCGACCCTGTGGGCCGCGGGTCGGGGTCAGATGCTCGGAGCCAGGGGCACCTCCTAACAGAAAGAAATCAGCCGCTTAAGTGGGGTTTCCGGACAGGCAGCGGTGTGGTCGTGGGGTCCGTGCTCACGCTTTGTGTCTTCCGCAGGGACTGGGTCCCGGGGGGGGGGGCAGGGCTCGGAGTCTCCCGAGTCACCTTTGCACACCCCCCCCCCCCCGGCGTCCATCCTTCATCGTCTCCATCCCCTCCCCCTGCCTCTGGAGCTGGTGGCAGGGCCGTCGTGTGCCCCCTTCCCCCGTGCAGCACCCCCAGCCCCATCTTCGGCTCGCTCCCCATGCCGCTGGCTCCAGGGACAGGAGGGTCAGACACCACCTCCCTCCGTGGTTATGAGGAGCCGGGAGACCCCGGGGCGCAGCACGCCTGGGCCCTGGGCCCCAAAGCTCCCCACAGCCAGTGAGCGCGTTGGGTGGGGGAAGGTGCCCCGGGTCCAGGGGCTGAAGGGGCCCTGACCTGGTCCTCGTGGGGACGTGCCTAGGGTCCCCGGGCTGGCCAGTGGGGCCCCTGACCCCATGGGGGGAGGTCCTAGGGCTCAGGGGTA